ATAAAATTGGGGAACTACATATATAACGAACACACAAAGATCGAATGTTTCAGCTGCAATATTCATTCCAATACTGAAAACTTCTGCAGCCGTGTATCTACAACAGTTGCGTTTTCCCGATGACCCATCAAAGTTGTAATGCTGGGAAAACTCAGAGCTAAAGAACTAACTAATTATAAACGCACTGGGCAACAGTGCGAATCTACATCGATGACAATGATCCTACCGATTATTATAACTCACATTTGCATGACCAAAAAAAACTGTAGAAGCAGGAGGCAGAAGAACATCTAAAGACATTCCGATGATGTTTCAGACAAGACACACACGATACTCGAACTTAAACATCATTATATTGTAACCACTTCTCCTGTCCTCCTCCCTCCATAGCTTCTTCCCGCATCCTTGCTAATTCATCAAACCAATCTTTGTACTCGACTTCAATCAAATCAAGCTCCCCATTCAGCACATCTTGACTATCGGTAATGGAAATTGACGAGCAACCACTCACCAGCTCCGAAGGAGGTGATGCTTCATCTATATGGAAAATCGAAATGTTCCTTGACCCATCACCTAGAACATGGTTGCAGTCTAGTTTGTGGATTCCCTCTTTGTACCCACCACAGTACATAGTCCCACAGTCATCAGTGCCATCGTAGCTCGGACTTTCAGAACTCCCAGCAAGCTGCGCAGAGAAGTCCGATCCCTCAGAGCACTTTGGCCCCTCCAGGTTAGTTGCACTTGAGACAGATTCTAGATATTTATTCGGCGATGCACTGATATCTTTAGAATGCATTGTACTTTGAACTAACACATAATCAGGTGGCATCTCTAATGGGTTCTGCTGGGAAATAGTTGCTTGATCACTTCCACACGTTTTAGATTCCTCGTATGAACTCATAGCTGCATCATTTGCCAGTTTCCGACCAGGAACAAGATTGACTATCAGAAGGTCAATAAAATCAGCAATGAAAGTAACATCGCAGTCTGCTAGCTCCAACTGTTCAACCATTTCCGCAGCAACAGACATAGCTGTGTCAGATTCGAGGTAGAAGAGGAAATGGATATTTCTTGCTTGACCTGCGAACAGAAAGTCAACGATATAAAAAATATATAGTAATGTGAGTTTCAAACAACATAAAATAAATCATACCACACAAATCAGCAATCCGTAGAACCAGTGAGACTGAACTATCATCAAGTTTCTCTCCCTTCAGATTGAGTTCCGTATTTCTGTTAGTTCTCGTGAACTCCAACACGGATTTATGTGGAGAACCAAGGACATTTTTCTTGCCCGAGCTACCACACATAGATCCACGAGTATCGACGTCCATGTGCAAAGATTGCAGAGAGATCTCTACTGCTTTGGGAATTGATGATGGAACCATAGTGCCAGCAAAACCATTTGCATTTTCGGAGCAAAGAAATGGATCTTGCAATAGTTCTTTGGCGGACAGCCTCTCAGAAGCAGGAAGGAAACATTTCTCAATGAAATGCTTAACTTCAGCATTTACAATTTTGAACAGTGCAGCCGGTTTGACACCCTAAAGATTAGAGGCAGTAATTTAGAAAAGATGCTGGACTGAAGCAGAACTCCAGAAATATAAATTTAAGAACACTTACCTTGGACACTTTTTTAAAGATCTGAGCTGGATTTTTGCATTCATTGTATGGATATTCAAGAGTGAACATTTCCAACATGCACATACCAAAGGAGTAAATATCGACCAGTTCATCATAACTCTCATCATATAGCTCAGGTGCCATGAATTCAGGAGTACCTGCCAAAATAAAGAGGAGTTCAAATATGTGTTGTATCAGGTGCAAAAAATAATTTTGTAGAAAATGGTTAGAACTTAAGAGTGGGTTGTTGAAAATACACAACCAAATAATATGTCTAAATGAGAAAACAGATGCGAACTTGGTTTTCACATTTCAAACAACCATGTATTGCAGACGATTATACTGATATAAAGATGTTAAATGGTTGAACCATAACATACAAAGTTGTCCCGTGAGATCAAAGAACCATAACATATTTGTTCAGAAAAACATGGAAGAGAATAAACTAGCAAAAGTATATTACCAATAACACTTCTTGCTTTAGGTGTTCGCATAATTGTAGCTAGTCCAAGATCTCCAATCTTAACTTGTCCATGATTGCCATTAACAAAAATATTATCACACTTTAGGTCTCTGTGGATAATCGGAGGTTGGTGGCTGTGCAAGTAATCTAATCCATGAAGAACCTGTCTTGCCCAATTCTTTATTGCTTTCAAATCAACACGTGGATGTTTCCGTCGGTAACTAGAAATGCACAAAGTTGTGATGGTGTCATTCTCAAGAAAGATGGAAGTAGCAGCAGAGCATGGTCGTCAAAGATTACTTACTGCCTAAGACTGCCAGATGTAAACAGTTCAGTAATAACATTGATTGTCTTCTTTTGATCATCAACCCAATAATTGTAAAACTTCATTACATTTTCATGCTTGAGAGATTTCAGTAGATGAACTTCCGAGTAGAGCCTCTCAAGGTTATCTGGACAATGCATCACCTCATCTATGTTGACTTGATTCCATGCAACTTCGATACCTTCGGCCTCATCAAATGCCTTGTAACTAAATCCAAATTAAGAATGTAACACGAGTTACAGAGTAATAGGCAGAAGTGATGTGTAAAAAGGTAAACAGAAACATAAGCAATGTAGCAGTATAATTGCTTAGCAATTTATCATTAACCTGATAGGAATCTGTTTACTGAATGCCACTACTAGTCTCCAGAACAATTTAGAGAGGCTACATTCTGAAATGATGACATTCCCTCAGTCCAAATCACTTCAAACCCAAGTTGCTCAGCCTATATTATCTCCTAAGTAGTTTCTTGGTACATATGGTCATAGAAAGGCTGTCGGGAGTGTAAGATATGATTGAGTACTACATTACTACTGTTAATTTAACTGGGGCCTTTCTAGTATTTTGAACAAAGTGGAACAGCGACAAAGGATGCCTATACTATGGCTATAAGCCTAGAACCGAGCATGTGCATTGGTAACTAAAATACGAATCATTGTCAATCTTCTAAGGTCTGGAAAGAAAAAGAAACAACCTATCAATTGACAAAGAAACATAAATGAAACAATATGATGGTAAGGGCATACACAGTCTTGACAGCTCCTCTCCCCAACACCTCATTGTACTGCAACAAGGGGGAAAATCAGATCAATACAATAGGCATGAATGGTTTTGTTGATCATTTTAGGTATTCCCTCATGTGCTGAATTTTAATAATCTAATGAGCAAATTGGCAGAATTTTCATAGTGCATTTTCTAACATAGCTCTAATTCAACTTTTATTTATAAAGCATCATATACTGCTCCCAATGTGCACGACTCCGCATTGGCATATGGAACGAAGCAATAAAACACTGTAGAACATAAGTTTTTATGACGACAGATTGTAAACATCCAAATATGTAATGCAGGCACCCTTTCACCGCAGAGTCAACAAACTAGCATGGAAATGTAAGTCACATTGGCATCAATCAAACAAATCGGAGTCCAAGCAAGATCAATCATCAGAAAACAAAGCACCAGACGAAAACTTACGCGCATGTATCGCCCGGTCGGATCCACCTCTATGTATTCAGGATCGGTCGGCTCATCCCGATCACCAAATACTTCCATTTTGGATCAAACGAATTTGCGAGCACAGAGAGGAAGCGGGGAAAAAAATGGAGCCAGATCGGTGGAGAAAGATGGACGGAGGGAGGGACGGGCTTCTACGCACAGCACGCTGCCGGCCAGGAAGGGGATGACGGAGCGGCATGTGCCTGGCCTTCAGTGAAGGGCTCGGAGAAGGGGGCATACGAAGGCCGCATTCGACGGGGGCGGCTGCCCAGCGACGTCGGCTTCACCTGTCCCACGACGACGCCCATTGCACGGCACCCGGCGGATTGCGGCAGCACCTTATTCTCCGCCGGTCAGTCTCCTCCCGTCGGGTATGCAGAACCCATCACGGCGGGTTCCCTGCTGCAACGTTGGGATTACGGGGAGGCAGAGCCGGCGGCCACCGACGGTAAGGTAGGGAAGGTACGATTTTAGCTGCCCGGAGATGCGCGGGTGGAGGCGAGGAGAGATAAAAGGGAGAGATTGGTAGCGGTGAGGAGGAAAAAGTGGAGGCATGGAAATAGTAACTGACATTCTGTTACGTTAAGATACGGGATCGGTGTCTTGTTTAATTTGCGGATTTTGGATAGTAGCAAAGTTCAAATATACTCTACTTTTTTGCCAACATTGATTATTTTTTGGAAGCTGCTACGCGTCAGCCGGTGAATCTTTTTAAAAGATAAGTCGCCTCGCAAGCCGTCGGATTTGATAAATCGAGCAAGTGGATGCACGGCTTTCTCTACTTCGCAACAGAGACCTTGTTGCAGAAATACTTGTAACACAGATATCTTGTGGATTTTTTTTGCAACATAGGTTGTGTTTTTTTGCGCAAAAACATAGGTTGTGCTGTGGGATTTTCTTTGCAACATAGCTCGTGTTGCGGATTTTATTTTTCTGTCTTCATTTTTTTTTGCAACAGAAGTATTTGTTGCGGAAAAACTTTACAACTGAGGTGATGTTGCAGATTCTTTTTTCTTTGTCTTCACCTTTATATGATGGTACGAAAGGAAGTTTTGCAACATGACTAATGTTGCAGAAATCTTCCTTGCAACAAATTGAATGTTGCAAAAAAACACCATCGTCGTTCGCCAGGAGCTCCCGCCGGACGGTGGTGAGGGGGAGCGGAGCCGCCCATCCCTGCCATCGCGTCGCCGCCGACGTGCGCCCACCGGACGATGGTGAGAGAGGAGAGGCGCCGCCCGTCCCCTCCATCGCGCCACCCTCTACGAGCGACAGACCTCGACCGCTTGCCTCATCACTATCCTCCTCACCAGCTAGATGTACGCCATTGATAGGCACTTATATACGGG